GCATTTCTGCAATCCTCCGGAAGCTTATTTTAAAGTGGAGGGGGGACAAAGATTAGCAAATATATAAAGTCAGGTCCTGACAGGTGCCTCTATTGTGTCAGTAAATGCTGTTCATTCACTGAACAAATAGTTCTGAACATCTTCAGAGCACCAGAGACCAAGAGAGATTCAAAGATGAGATAGGCAAGGTCCTGTTTACTTTGCTGAGTGCCATTCCTAGAGTCTGTTTCCTCACCTGAAAATGCCTTTATCTCTGAGTCAGTGGAATGCAAACGATTCACCTGAGGCAGGTGGGCCCCAGGAAGAACTGGAGTGCTGAGCTGGAAAGCCTTCTAGCAGGAAGGAGTGTGCGTGGCCAGAGGAAGGGCAGGCAGGATCCAACAGTAGCTTATTCAGCTCAAGTTCAGAGGACACCCAGCATCACGGGAGGAGCCCACAGGTCAAGGGCAAGGACAGGGATCAAGACCCTCCCTCATTTCCCTACTTGAGTGATTTTATTGCCCCAACTGCCTCTCTCTAAGGATACATCAAAGCCTTATAACTATAGAGGGCCGAGGAGGGAAGATGTGGGGGGAGGTGCAGATGTTTTGCCAGAGAGGCTCTGTTCTGTCTGGCTAGGTTTAAGCAGAAAAGACACCCAGTGGGTAGAGGGAATGGTAGTATCTTGAGAGAGAAGGGGTTGGGCAGCATGCAGAAGTAAGTAGTCTGTTCTGTTATTCAAACCTTCAATTCTGATCCCACCCGGCCCAGTGCCGGGTTATTAACTGAATTAAATTCCAAGGAAGAACACTGAAAAACACCACTGATGTGATGTTTTTTTAATCCATTCTGTGGATACAGAGAACAGTGAAGAAGCTATAGATCAGGAAAAGGCTGGAAACTTAGCCATGTCACTAGTAGTTGTGTGACCTTACTTAACCAAAAACTGATCTTCTCATCTGCAAAATAAGACCAAAAATCATAAAGCCTCCTTTAATCAACCAGTATGAGAATTACATAAGCACCCGGGAAGCACTCAGAAAACTGTCAAAATTATTGTTACATTATTACTACTGTTATTAAGAAAAAATGATAAAAAGAGAAATGTTTTCCAGCTTCGGTTCGGTGGTCCACCTGTTGCCAGGCATGAATCCCATTAAGTCTCCTGCCACTCACCCACCTTATTCACAGACAATAAGGAGCAGTGAAGTCCTCGTCAGTATGTCAGCGTTCTGTCTCATTTCTGTGACCCGCAAAAAACACGCCAGCCATTCGCACCACACATCCAGGAAGTGTGGACCAGGTTCCCATTAACATACTTCCATTCCCTTGCCTCACCTCTAGCTCATACATACGTTCGAGCCCCCAGATTTCCACCCAAATAGCAGGTTCCCACCTGCAACACAGCTTTACCTCCTCCCTCCTCACCTGGGTTTCTTCCAGCAAAGTACAACCTTCCAACGCCATGTTCCAGGAAAAGTCCCCACCAACACACACACCCACCCACCCACCCACCAATGCACACACTGCACTAAGACTCCTATTACTGACCAGGGTCAAAGTCTCAGGTTCATTCAGTTACTAAACACGTTACTATGCTTCCTGTGTTACCATCCAAATACCTAATTCTAGTGACTCTTCCAGAACCCCCAGCGCGTTCTCAAGTCAGTCTCTAGAGAAGCAAGTAATGACCTGTTAGCCTACAAGATAAATTTGAATCTACTTAGCAAATTAAAATTAAATTTAAATCTCTATTTCCCACAGCCCCCTTCACACTGCTCGTTCCAAACACAGCCTCATGCGTAAACCTTCCCTATGGCAGCGTCTGCCTAACACACACACACACACACACACACACACACACACCCGTATCTTACCTGTCCTTCTTCCACGTAGGCAAGTCCCACTCAGCCCTAAAGATTCCCTTCAGACACCACTCCCTCTGTGGTTGTTCGCCTGAAGTCTACCCTCCTCAGTGCAGAACAGCCAAAATATACCCTTATAATAGCATACAGACACACACACACACACACACACACACACACACAAACGTGTGCACATGTGCGTGCACACACACACATTCACACACACTTGTGCTCCTCAAGGAAGACAGGGGCAGTGTCCCCTTATGTTTGTACATCCAGGACCACCCAATTGCAAAACTTGTGCACCTCACACACTGCTCTTCTCCTTTCTGTGTACAAATTAGCTGTATGTTCCATCCCCTGCTTTTACCAGGTCAACAGGCATCTTCTGTCTTGACCAAAAACCCATCATTATCCCAGCATCTTAAGCCATAGCTCTGAAATCAGATCCAACCAGACTCTTCCCTGTTCCCAATTAACCGGTGCCAGGCTCACAGTGAAGTAAAGTCACATATTAACACCAAGATCAAAGTTCTAGGCTGTAATTTTGAGCACATCTCTAATTAGCACTGTGACCTTGGGCAAAGGTTCACATGCTGATGACAGTATCATCAGGCCCAATTCTCAGGGGACTGTTTGATACCCAAATGGACTATCTGATGGGAAACTGTTTCCTCAAGTGCAGAGCCCCGCACATTCATAAAGGGTATAATGAACAAACTTTATCAAATCTAACCATCAACTGTTAAGATGTACCATTATCAACTTAGAATGAAAAACTGCTCAGCCATGACATATCTGTGATTATAAGAGAACCCAATTTCAGTCATATTAAAATGTGAAGTGTGTTTTAGAATTGATGAAATAAAATTTATTTGTCTCAGTAAAATATAGAAACCTGCTACAAATTTTTCATATTTGCCAATGGCCCATAATAGGTACTTGGTAATATATGCCAAGTAAATGAATGAACAAACACCCACTGAGAATACTCTTAGGCCAAATTATTGCCTCTTTTGCTGGAACTGGGCAGCATGAGGCCTCCCCATGCCGGTTCCTCCACCTCTCAATCATGTCCCAGCCTGATCAAAACCCTCTAGAGGACTTCAAGTCATATCCAAACCCCCTTCATAATGAAGCCTCCTCTCTACCAATCACTGCCTAGAACTGTCTACCTTCCCAGAACAGTGACTTCTCCACCAGAATATGTCACCACAAAGTCCTACTCAGTCCCAGCCATAGTAAACAGCTCAGCAACTCAGCTTCTCCTCCCTCCAACCATCCCCAAAGCTAACTCTAGGCCCACCCACTGCTTACAAGGAGCTCGAGCCTGGGTGAATGCATGATCCAAAGGGCCCAGGCCTGTATCCTCAACCAGACCGCTAACCCCAACTACTCATCTCCCGTCTAGAGTCCACATTCTAAACTCTAAAAGCCTGGTGTTGTGGATGGGGGACTGCCTTGCAAAAATTAAATGCAAGATACACACTCTTCCTTTTAACTGACCCCTGGAGCCGACAGGAACCAGGAAGGGAGGAAGGCAGGCAGGCAGGCTGGTTGTGGAGTGGAGAGAACCCTATTTCAAGTTCTAGGCCCCCTGCCATCCACCATTACTCACTGTAGGCTCCAGAACTAGCCCCCACCTCCTCTGGGCCTCTATGTTTGTTTTCCTACCTGTAAGAGTGAGGGACAGTAAGGAATTGGGGGTGGGAGCAGTTAGCTGCTTTCCCTCCTACTGTTTGGACACTTTCTGAAAATGCACAAGCGCTGGGAAAGGTAAGCCATTAAGTCACTAACACCTTAGTGAGAATGAGTTTCATTGGGAGACAATTTAGAAAAGGGTATTGGAAACAAAGTTAAGTGAGTATGGTACTAGGAAAGTAGCTAGTAGGATGACCCTACATTTTTGCATTCTGGGTTGAAGGCAGGAAGGCAGTGAATTCCTGGGAGGGCAAGGGAAACCAGAGAACCCTTTCAGTTCCCGGAGTACTCCCTAGTCCCAAAGGCGTCGCTCTGTCGAGTACTCAGGCACAATTCCACTCTATCTCATCTCATGGACCCCCTCATCCAACCCTAAGCCCCCAACAATCACATTTAGAATTTCGTCTCCACTCTCCGCATTTTATTTAGCCTTCTCTGCTCTGCATTCCCCACCCCCAACCCAGCACAAATGGCCTTCCTGTCCCTGGCTGGCTTCAGGAAACCCCCTATTCTTCAAAGCCTTGACCAAGCGCGGCCCCTCCAAATGGGAAAATCAAACTCCCTCCCTTAAGCGCCTGAACTTTACCCATGCCTACCCCCTCCCCGCCCCACCCCTCGCCGCACTCCGCACTTTATCTCCGGTCAGCTTGGGCGCCACGGTTGACTGTGCGCTCCCTGAGGGAAGGGACTGGGCCCCAACACCCTCTCTGAGCTCGCACACCCAGCACAGAGCGTGGCACACAGTGGGTGCTGGAGAAATGCTTGGAGAAAAAGAACCAGGAGTTGGGAACCATCTATGTCAGTTTGGCTCGGCCTCCCGAGAGTGACTCCGGGGAGGCCCTCCTTCTCTCTGGGCCTCAACTGAGCCGACTGTAAAATGGGGGGACTCGAATTACCGGGTCGCTAGGCCCTTTCCGCTGTGACAACTGAAATTCCGCGAAAGCTCCAAACTGCTGGGTGTGGCCCCGCCCCCTGGACGCCCTGAATAGCCCGGGCAGGGGGCGCTCAGGGAAGGGCGCCAACCCCGCCCAGCCCCAGGTCGGCGCTTCCCGAAAACTCGGGGTCCCCCTCCCCCATGCGTGCACCCCGTGATTGCGCCGCGGCCGGCACTTCCGCACCGCGGGCCCTGGGGCCCGAGCTGGGCGCGCGCTCCGCGCCCTGCGCCCCGCGCTCCTGCCTCCCCGGAGCGCTTGCGCCCGGGGAGGGCCGGGGGTTCCCGAGGCGCCCGCGAGCGGAAGGTGGGGGAAAGGAAGGAGGATTTGCAACAATACCTCGGGGAGGAGGCAGCCGGGGCAGCGGCGGCGGCGGCGGCGGCGGCTGGAGGCGGAGGCAGAGGCGAAGGAGGAGGTGCCCGGGCACTCCCCCTCCCATTGTCCCCGGCCCCGGACAGGCCCGGCCCCGCGCCCCGCACCGCGCCCCGCGCCTCGCGCCCGGAGCCGTGCAGCCAGCCCTTACCTTGCAGCGCTCGGCTATCCCCTGCTCGCTAACGCTACTTATCCCGGGAAAGCTCGCGCGGGGCCGGGAGCGGACCCACAGACAAAAAGTGAAACTTCGGCAGGGCTGGAGCGACTGCTGGTTGGTGCCTTTCCCCCTCCTTCCTCCCCACCGTCCCCACCCCCTCCCCTCGGGCTCCCGTGCGGTGCCCTGAGAGCTGGAGGCTGACGTCAGGGGCCTGAATTCCTGACTTTGCCTGCACGCATTTGTCCATGTAAGGTATGGGAAAGCGTGTGCCCGCGGGGCCGCCGCGCTGCGCTCGCCTGGCGGGGGAGGGGGCGGCCGCTGGGGCTGCGGCTGGGCCAGAAGGTGGGCGCGCGGAGGGCATGTTACTTCCTGGGAGGAAGAGGAGGAGACGCGGGGATGCGGGGAGCTTGCAAAGGAGGAAGGGAATGAGGGAGGTGTGGAGGCTCTGCCTGCACTGGAGGAGGAGGAAGCAGTCGTAGAAGGAGGAAGCGGCTGAGTGGAGGGGCTGCTGAAAAAATGGGGGACCTACTGTCTACTATGGAAGCGCCAATTTAGGGCGCTGAGCCTCAGCAGAAGAGATCCTGCCATGGAATTCCCTTCTGAGATCTTACTCCTGAGCCTCGCCCTGGAGTCCCAGCAACACTCAGAACCTACTGGATGAATGGCAGAGATGGCCAAGACCACCTCACACAGGAGAAAACTGAAGCCTGGGAAGAGAAATGACTTGCCCAGGGTCATACACAACACAGATCCAAGCGTGGGACCGGGATGCTTGGGCTCCCAGCCCTGTCCTGCCGCCAGGCAGAGTCCTGACTCCCTTCGTCCCACTGAGCCATGAAACAGGCTATGTGTCCCCTGGACAACGCGGACCACCCTGTAAGAGCTTGCCAACTTCTGGTCCCGGAGTTAGTTCTTGGAAGTTTCTGATTGACAGCCCTGAGTAGCAGTGACAATCAGTTGCTTCCGGTCAGCTTCCTCTGTCCTGTACTCAGAGGAACCCCTGCAGATTAGCATTTACTTCCCAGCCTTGTTCTGGAAGCCCAGAAAGCTTGCTGTGAGCTTATAGCTTCAAAAAAAGGAGGGGAGGGAATCTGTGAACTGGGTGAACTGGTTTGAATAGAGGCAAGCCTGTTCTTGGAAGGTTTGAGTCGGATTTTTTTCCCTCTGACATTTGTAAATAGGAGCAACCATGAAAACCACCATTTACTTTGTTAAGAGGTTGTAATGTTCAGCAGCTAGTGCCTGGAAGGCACTCCGACCGAGGCTGTGGACTTTGTTTCTTTGTGTTTCTGGCCTCCTGGTACGTAAAATAACCATCCCTCACCTCAGCATATCATGAAAGTGCTTTTGCACAGGCTTATTAGATCTTTGTGTTAGGTGGAACAAATTGTAGTCCCTCTTTAGTATCTGAGGATAAAAAAAAACAGGTAAAGTGATTTGCCCCAACACAAAATAAATGACTGAGCTAGCATGGAACTCACCTCCTCTCATCCAGGTCACGTGACTAATCCTGTGGTTTGGGTCCAGACGGGAGGGTTCCACCCAATAAGGAGGCCCTGACTGCCAGCAGACCCTAATTTCCATTCATGGATGTTGAGAGTACCTATTCTTGAAACTTCTGGAACTTGGTTCTTCTTGGATTTGGAGGGATTTTTTTCGACCAGGAATTAAAGAAGTGAATGTAGAAACACAGCATATTGCACTTTCCATTTCTTGGGCACCTTCTTTGTGCAAAGTTTTTTAATTCAGATGTTCCTGGGTTCCAATTACTTAATCTCTCTTCCTCTCGATTTCCCATCTACACCTGCAAAAATTGAAAATAGCAGAAATAAGGTAAAGAGTACCTATGCCATGCAATCATGAACTATTTTTTTTTTTTTTTTGCAACTAATATGGTTTGAAATAGGAAATATGAGCTCTTAAAAGAGATTTTGTCCTGGGACTTTCAAGAGATCAGATCCCATTACAATACAATTCACTTAGTCTATCTTCAACATTTCAGCAAACCCATATTCTGAACGCTAATGTTTAGTACAAGAAAACCCTGGTATCACTCAAAGTAAAAATGGGTTCACCCAGTCCCCATCCGATATAGCGGGACTTGACCAGCATTTCTTTTTTTCTTTTCCCTAGTAAGCCACTTATAAAGAATAATAGGGTTCTAATGAGTATTAATTAATAAGATTTAATAAGGTATAATTAGAGTTATTCATTTCCTCCATCATACACATTATAAGAGTGCTGTGTTGGATCCAGAAATGCTGCTAATTACGTTGAAACTGTTGTATGGGTGTGTTGGGGAAGATCATTAAGTTTCTTCTGAAATACTGAGGAATTGCTCAGATGGGCATGGTGTTAGCACAAGCATTAGAAGTGAATCAGGAAAGATCATTTCAACTCATGAGGCACTTGCCAAGAGTATAAGAAGCGAACTCATCAACTGGATGCTTGGTCAAGGGAATGTGGTGTAGTCATCAGTGCAAACCCAAGTCAAAAGCCTCATTCTCATTTGCTGATCTGGTTTCTTTTGTATTCTCACTTTTCTCAACATGCCCATTAAAATCTGCTGTGTTCAGGGGCTTAAGAAAGCAGGAAACACTGTGCAAATTTGCAGACTCAATGCCAGAGAAATACAGGATTACCCACTCAGAGACTAAAGGAAACACGGGATTTCAGGTGGGACAGAGGTCATGTGATCTGAGGATTGCACACTGGTGGTCTGAAGACCTACAAAAGTATTCTCCCTGTTCCAGGGATGGCAAACAAAACTTCCAGGAAGGCAGGCTGTGGCCCCACCATTCCCTTCCATCCGCTACAGCCCCTTACCCAAAGGCCTCTGTGTAGCTCCTGGCAGTCTACTCCCTGTGCGTGGGAGAAGCAAAGCAGTATTCTGAAGATTTTACATTTTATTTAACCTCGCAAAACCTTTCTAAGGTCAACAATATTATTTTTCTCTATTTTGTCCTGTGCCCATGAGGAAAGTAAAGCCCAAGGAGGTTATGTAGCTTGCTCTTAACACAGAGCCAGTCCATGGAGAAGCTGAGACACACACACACACACACACACACACACACCCGCACCGCCGCCCCCCCCCCCCCCAGCCCAGGCAGCCCAGCACTAGCTCCCCCATTGCCCAGTGAATATCTGGTCTCAGTCGCAACACTCCCATGTGCAGAACTCAATCTCCCACAGCTGACCAAGAGGAATAGATAGGAAGAGGCTATTGGAGAAATACTAAGGCAAGAGGGGCAGGGAAGACGGAGGAAATGAAACACCAACCCAATATTGCTTCTACCCAGCTTAATCGCATCAGGCCAAACCCCTTCGTGTGGTTAGCACAGCCTCTTAGCCCCTTCTCTTCCTGTCCTGCCCATGCCATGACCCTGCAGACAACCGAGGTCACGTGGTTGTCCAAACACTTCGTACTTGTCCCTGCTCATCTGCCTTTTCAGGGGTTCTTTCTTTCTCACGGGAGTGCCCATCCTTCTCCATCCACCTGGCAACCCTCACCTAACCTCTTCTAACTCCTCAAAAATACACTCTCCTTTCTGCCCCTACCACCACCTTCAATGGATGCCTTGCCCCCAAAAAATGTTCCTGTCACTCTGCTTATCCTCAATCCATGTGGCTCTGGATTTTGTCAATGGTCACCTTGTCTTTTTCTGCTATTGGACTGAGGCTAATTTGGCTCTGAGTCCTTAACACAGTCCCTGCCTTGATCATTGCACACATCCAACTAATTTGCCCCCTTCCTCCCCACCTTCCCCCACCCCTGTCTTCCTTCTTCTTCCTGGTCAGGGGAAAAAAAAAAAAGATTATGGAGGAGGTATAGGATATATATGTGTTTAAATAAAATCAGACATCTCCCTCGAGATGAGACCTAAATGTCAGCAGACCAGAGAAAGGGAGAGCAAGAGTAACAGGAGCATGACCATTTGGAAGTAGAACCAGGATTGGCAAGGGAGGGAGAGGAGAGGAAGGGTAATTGTCCTTTTTTTGTCCTCAAGTTACTGTGTAACCTCATAGCAAGTCACTTTCTCTCTGGCCTCAAGTTCTTTATCCATACAATAGGTTCTTAGATTTGATATTCTCATACACTCTCCCAGCTCTTCGGTTCAATGCCATGCTCAACCTACTGACCAAATTCATGTTCTCAAAGGGTAGCATGTCACATTGTCCTCTGAAACTTCAGTTTCACGAAATCAACTTCATTAACTCCAAACTCTTCAGCTGTACCTTCCTGGTTCTGTGATCTCAAGCCCTAATGGGGTCCTTTCCACAGACCGTACTTCCAGCCCCCTACTATCATCACCACATACACACACACACACACACACACACACACACACACACACGCAGTTGGCACACAGAGCTTCCAACACTCTTTGCTTTCAACTTTTTCCGCATTTAATTTCCTCCTCCTAAAATACTTTCCTGGGCCCATTTCCACAAATGCAGATTTTACCTGCCCTGCCAGCTCCCTTTTAAGTAATCTTCTCCCTGTTTCTCCTTCCCTCCAAGCCTTCTCCATTGATACGAAAGTAATCACTCTATCTTCTAGAAAATGTACATACTTGATTGTCCCATTGCATTGTAAATTTTTTTTTTTTTTTAGGTGTGTTTGATCGCTTCTTCTCAAACATAAAACCCTTTGCAGTAGACTTTCTGTGTTGTTCATTTCTCCTCCCCAGCAACCAGGGCAGAACTTGGGACTTAGGACTAAATGCTATCCGGCGAGCAAATGAGCCTTCATCTTGGGTAGAAAAGCAACACAACTGGTACCTTTCCTCTGGAAGATTAGTCATCTTATCCTAGACCATGACTCTGGGCAGGGCGGGGCTGGGAGGGATGAGGGGGAAGGAAAGGATGATTTCTCATGTATTACAGTGTGCCCTGGTGTGCACAAATCTAGGCCTTCCCACATTTAACATGTATAAATTTTTATAAATCGGATAAGGATAGAGTTCTACTATAGTAGTAGACGCAGAATTAAAACATTGGTTATTTTGCCGCTTCGTATCACATAAGTTCTTAAAAGAACACCCAAGTTTACCTTTTTCCAGGAAAAACTAAGCACAAGTGATAGTTTTAATTTTGGATATACCTGCTCTATAATTGAACTTCATTCTCTTTCTAAGCCTGTTGT